GTAGAGGGCAGTGTCACTGGCCCTCATATGTGGGATCCAAACCGGGGCCCTCTGGCGTCCCAAGCCAGTTCTTAACCATCGCGCCACTCGGCCGGCCCTGAACTGTACAATTTTGAAAATGGTTCAAATGGTAAATTTTGCTGTGTATTTTACCACAATTGAAAACAAGAATCCCCACAAAACTAGGGCATTGTCTTCTACAGACTTCTGTGTAACAGGATCCGGGGCCCAAGAGAAGTATGCGGGTCAGGGAAGCTGCCCCCACTTAGGCCCGAGCATAACTACTTGCACAAATGTGCAGTCATGGCGGCAGTCTGGTGGCCAAAAGCGGGAGCCTGAAGGTGACTGTCATTGGTGAGAGCCAGTCTCAAAGTGGTGGCTGTGTGATGGTGATGTTGAAGGGTTTTAATTGCTCCTGAATTAATGTGCTTACTTCTCACCCCTGGGGCGCCTGGGTTTAATTACTGTCTTAGGTCACATATACAAATGAGCCAGGTCCCAGTGGACAGAAGCCCTGATTACGCAGTCCTCACACGCTGCAGCAAGACAGGCAGGAAGAAGTGAGGACGCCACTGGCTAGGCGGCCTCCCATTAAGAGCTGATGGAGGTGGTGCTGGTCTGCCCTATTTCTGGCTTAGGTGAGCTGGAGGGTTCAAGGTTGTGACTGGGGAGTCCTTGTGACCTTAAGGCACCGGGAGATCAGTTGTCAGTGGCTGAGAGGCCCTGGAGGACCTGAACTCACAGAACACTTCAGGACAAAGGATTTTTACACAAAAGGAAAGAAATGGGAAGATGGCCTGTAGGGAAGACCATGGAATGGGGGTTGCAGGTTCAAAAGCCGCAGAGGGCTGGGCAGGTAGGTGAGGGAAGCAGGCAGGTGGGGCCGCAGCTGACCTCAGAAGTGGATGGCCCACTGTTGCCTTCTGGGCATGCAGGCCCAGCGATGTGATTTCCCAATCCACAACTGTACGCTTTAAATAGGCGCCTCTTACTGCATGTCAATTACACCTCAGCAGGTTGTTAAACTGCTGGCTGCTTCAGTGGGTCCCAATACCTCTCCGCCTGGGCTGCTGTGAGCTATCCACTCCAAACTCTCTCCTGTTTTAACCATAAGTGCTTTACCTGCTCTGCAGGCCTTCTTCCCCCTTGCCTACGTCCTGTGCCTTCCTAGGTAAGCGTACCAGTGCCTGTTTCATTCATTTATCCCAAGCTCGAGCCTAAGGCCGTGTGATCCTATACCCACCCTAGGCAATAACCCGAGGCTGTACTGTTCTATTAGCCCCGTTTTTACCGATGGGGAAACTGAAGTTGTTCAATGGAAGAGCCCGAATCCAAACCCACGTCTAGCCCCACCTGTGCTCTTGGCTGCTGTCGGGGGACCAGGTGTTGGGGCCCCCACTACTTGGAGGCGGGCTCACTTGGCTGCATCTACAGACCCCCACACAGGATTCCTGTCAAGCAGGATCCTCTCAGGGCCCTTTCTGCAACAAGGCCCAGGTCTGTGGACCGCGTTGATTCACTCAGCTGCCATCTTCAGGCCTCAGCAGCATTTGTTTATAAAAGAGAGAGGTTTTCAGGGAAAACCTGGCTACTTCCCACTGTCTCCTTGAAAGCCTGGTGGTCTAGCTAGGCCCAGTCATCAGCGGCCCTGCAGTTCACTTACTCTGCACCAGTGGTTCTCAAGCTCACTGCACATGCTGTCAGCTGGGGGACCTTAGAAATTGCTGCAGCTTTAGATTCCAACCTGAGATCAATTTTCCCGATCTGGGTAAGGGGGGATGCTTTACAAGCTTCCCGGGGGCTGCTAGTGCATGGCCGAATATGAGACCCACTGCCTCACATTTTTAGTTTGCTTATGTTAGAATGTCAGAGATGCAGTTATTTGGGGGTTGGAGGACACGAGTGAGAAATACATGTTTTGTGGAAAAGTGTTTGTCATATGCAGTTAAAGTTAAAACAAAACAAAACCACATAAAGCAAGGCCAGACTACAAACATGTGCGAAGATGTTTACTTTAAAAACACTCCAAGTTCGGGCCGGCCAAGTGGCGCGTTGGTTAAGAGCTGGCTTGGGACGCCAGAGGGCCCTGGTTCGGATCCCACATGAGGGCCAGTGACACTGCCCTCCACAGCTAAGATGCTGAACAACAGCTCAACCTAGAGCTGGGCTGGTGAGTCGCTGGGGACAGCATAGGCTGCAGCCCCTGTGGCAGTGGGTTGCCATGGGCTACCGTGTGTAGCCAGCAGCCAGCGTGAGCGGCCAGCAGCCGCAGTGAGCGGCTGTCCAGAAGCCGGCGACTGATCTGCCTCACCCGGGAAGAGCGCAATGATGGTGCCAACTTGGGCCAGTGAAGCAACATCCTCCACAACTAGACTGAAGAACAAAGGGACAGCAACTTGTCTGTTCCCCTTCCCCCAACTCCCCAATAAAAATCTTTAAAAAAACAACAACAAAAAAACACACTCCAAGTTCTTGTAAACTCAAGTGATACAGAGGCATGTCTGACATTCCAGGTCCTCCGAAAGCCCAAGAATGGCTTCCTGGAAACTGGGAATTGAATGTGCTTCGTTTCCGCTGGGTCAGAAGTTGTCCGTCAACTGTCCTGACCTGCGGCCTCACCCATCTAGCTCGCGGACTGCTTTCAGGGCGGAGCTTACCTGCAAGGGCTCCTACCTACGCTTGCCCTTGAATCCAAGAGTGATAAGTGCCTTTACCTGACAGTCACTGTTTTAAAATCAAAGAGTCAGAAAAAGCTGACATTAAATCAAGTTTAAAAATACTGCTGCTGATTTGCTGCTTTAAAGCTGGGATAAATACAAACACTTTAGACTGTCGGTGCAGTTCAATGATTCACTTCCCTCCAGAATCAACTTTCAGATAGAAACCAGTCATTAAAACCTGGAAAGGGTGAGTGGTTCAGGTAGTATGTGCGAGTTGTGCCATGTTAGGTGGAAGTAGGAATTTGCTATCGTTATTTGGGATTAATTATGGTTTAAGACATGTATGGGTGCAGCATTGACAGAGGGTAGACTGTGATGGCTTTGTGACATGTCTGCCTGACTAGAGTCCTGTTATTCAAATACTAATCTAGGTACTACTGTGAAGCTATTTTGCAGACACAATTAAAATCACTAGTCAGCTGACTTTAAATAAGTTTTCCTGCATGACTGCGTGGGCTGACTGAATCAGTTGGAAGGCCTTAAAATCAGGGCTCGAGTTCTCACCATGAGTCAGTGTCCACCTGTGAACCAGCACCTCACCTGTGCCGGTGAGCTCCGCCCTGGTCACCCTCCCTTCTGCATGGCTGCCTATGGAACTTTGGATCTGCTCGGCCAAACGCCATATCACAGAAGCCAGTTCCTCGTGATCAATCTCCGAACATATGTATCTTCTACTGGTTCTGTCTGCTTCAGGGGTTAAATCCTGACTGACAGGGATAAGCAATGAACAAGAATGTCCACAAGGGGGCCCCTGGCCCCCCCCCCCAACTGGGTATTAAAACAATTCAACAAACTGATAAAAATTTTAGGGGAAGAAAAATAAAATGCTAATAAAACACCAAACTTTTCAAGGGGTGGACAGCAACCACAGCATTTTCTCTAAAATAAATGGACTACCTCACACACTTCGCACACTGTGCTAATTAATTACTCAGGAACACTGCTTTCTGCAATGTTAACGTTAATATTGTCTACCCAACACAGTGGACATGAGCTAATGAAGCTTTTGAGCACTTGAAGTAAGATCAGTGAGGAATGGAATTATTTTATTAATCGAAACAGGGTTCCAAGATCTCTAGATGCTCCACCTCTTAACCCCTCTTTTACCTGTTTCTCCTCCCCTTGCCCAGGACGGTTCACTTCACTCCAGCAGACCCTCTGGTTTGGACATGGTCATGTGACCTAGAAGCCACTGCCCTTGAGATGATCTGTAATAGCTCTGCAATTGTATTTTCTCCCAAATAAGACATATGAACTTGGAAGTCACCCTGCCTCCCAGCTCTGACCCAACTTCTATCAAAGGACTTGGCAGGCACACCTCCTCTCTCACCTTTTGCCTAAACTACCCTTCCAAGAACTCATGCAAATGTCCTCAACAAACTCCTTGTCCCCTTTTTGAGGACAGAAAGCCTCTAGGTCTTGCAGGCCTACTGCAGCGCCCCACGACGCAGGACACGAGGACAGACTGTCCCATACACAACACACACAGGGTATTCCTACAGGTCACTGAAGCCTTTTTATTTGCACACAAAACCACTGGGGATCTCGCCTGTGACGACCTCGGAGATTACAATGTAGATACACACTTGGCTCCCGACACTTGGGAAGCGAGGTGACAAAAACGGTGACTCGGGCCAATCACACGACTACAGAGCTAGGGTTTCCAGCAGGGTTCCAGGTTGTCAAGTTTGGCTGTTGTAGCTCTAAGGAAGCGGTGAGAACTCACAGGGATGGGACAGGGCAGTTAACTAGCAGAGGCTCCTGCAGCGTTGGCTGGGGGCCTCGAGCTGCCCGTGTGGACACCAGGAGCAGAGGTCTAATTGGCGGACCAGTGACCAGGGCTGAGGCTTCTGCCCAGAGCTTACTTGGCTAGCGGGTTTCTGAAGTTCCTGCCGGCAAACTTGGCCTTGCTGCCCAGCTCCTCTTCAATTCTTGGGAAGCAGAAGGATGGAGAGAGAGAGGGAGGGAAAAAACAGAAGTCAAATATCAATGTGGTAAGTTTTCTCACCCAGAGACGTGGTCAGACACACATCCTCCCAGGAAGCCAAGACCCCAACACCCGCATACGCCGTCCAAATTATCTTTTACACTCGAGCGCTGAGATGCGGGCATAGAAGGGCGTTCTGTTCAGCTCTCATCCTCCCAACTCAGCCAGAAAGATCGCCTACATGCTGCCCCTTCTACTCCCCCCACCCCCCCAATATTTCTGAAGGACAAAGTAGAAGAAATGTCAGGATTGCTATTTCTTCAAACATCAAGTATTTTCTTTAATGAAAAGACAACCAGTGCCTTCAACAAGTGGCACGGGAAACAAAGGAGGGGAACTTATTGGAATGAACACGGATGGGATCCTGGGGAGACTGAGTAAATAAACGGACTTGGTACTGATATTATGGAATCATTACTAAGTTTGGGCACGGAAATGGTAGAGCAGTTACATTGAAAAAATAAATCTTTTCTGAGATATAAAGTATTTACAGGTGAAATCATAAGATGTCTGGAATTTGCTTTAAAATTACCAGCACAACAATCACAAGTAGGGTGCAGAGACAAGCATGGAGGAACAGCAATGGCTACTGCAGCTGGGTGATGGCAAGGGGTGTACATTCTACTGTTCACTGTTTATTTTCAATGCTTGGAATTTCCCAGGATAGCTTTAAAGGGGTGAGGTGGGAGGACGTATGAAATGGACATGCCTTTCCCCTGCAAGACTGGAAAAAGTAACCAAGGGGGCGGGGCAAGTTACCCTGTGTTTGGGAGCCTCCTAAGGATAGACCGAGGACACAACTGAGACAAAAGTGGGGGGACCAGAACGTCTCAAGGCACCCAATAGGGGAAAACCTGCTGTTTGCCCTTCGGCAGTTTTCTTCATCTCTCTGAACCCCATTTTCCTGCCCACAAAACAAGGATGCTAAGTGAGATTACTAAGGCTCCCATAATTTGGACTGTCCACAGGGAAGCCTGTTCCCTCTTCTGCCAGCAGACGGGCAGCACTGTATGGGACAGGCTCCTGCTTTGGGGCAACACCAAGGCACCTTAGGTTGCCCTAGAGCAGGGGTCAGCAAACTGTGGCTCGCGAGCCACACGCGGCTTTTAGGGTACGTTCCGTCTCAAAAGTTTGCCAACCCCTGGAAGAGCCAATCCTGTTCTCACAACAATTTAAAAATTATTTGAGAGCCATAAATATATGTTTGCATAATCACCATTATGTGAATAATATCCTTTAAAAGTTTTATAAATGAAACTATGATATTTTATTTTCATTTTCAATTTTACTTCAGAGCCACAGTTTGCCGACCCCTGGTGGCTCTTCTGTCTCAAAAGTTTGCCAACCCCTGTCCTAGACCCACCTCTGCCCAGCCTGACACCGCTTAGGCCCTGACCCCCTGATCTGAACGCGCTCCAGAGCCAGGAGCTCTGAGTGCGGGTACCCTCCTTACCTGAGGATCTGGTTGTACTTGGCCAGGCGCTCGGATCGGCAAGGAGCACCAGTCTTGATCTGGAAGGAGAAAAGGTCACTTTTGCTTACAGTCGGCATTTCAGGCAAGGGGAGGGCGCAATGGCAGAGACAACAGTTTCTTAGGGAGGATCTGACCCTAGGAAGGGGACAAAGAGGGCATCCAGGACCCCATCTCTCCCCACCCCCCGGGATCTGTGCTCAGTAAACTGAGGTCAGAGAGAAGGAACAAGGACCAGCTTTCATTGCAGGGAGCGCTTTACCTGCCCGGTGCAGAGCCCCACCACCAGGTCGGCGATGAAGGTGTCCTCAGTCTCCCCGGAGCGATGAGACACCATGACGCCCCACCCACTGGACTGGGCCAGCTTGCACCTAGAAGCCAGGAAAACAACCGACGGCCTGAGTCCACCTCCTGGGCACAAGAGCCCCCGCTGGCCCTGCTGATGCCATGACCCACCATCCCTGTCAGGAGAGCAGGGGAGGGGCCAGGGCCTGGGAGCAGCCAGCACACTCTCAGCTCCTGGGGAGATGATGACCCTCGCCCTCCTCTTAACTCACACACCCTGAGACCCTCATCAGCCCTCCAGCCAGGTTTGAAATCTGGGATTCAGCCTTTTGAGGGGAGAGAGACTTGTCTCCTCTGACGTTCTCCGTGTAAAATTAAGGCTTAGGCCATAACTGTCAACACCCAGTCCCCTTGGTGCCATCGCTTACTTTAAAAGCGCCCCCACCCCACAAGTTCAATTCTGAAACCCTGTTACAATTCCAGCCATGGGGGCTCCCAACACCAGAAAGGGGCTCTTGGTCAGATTCAGCCCCTCGCTCCCAGAATGCTGCTCCCAAGGGCACTTACGCCTGAATGGACTCGGTCACTGAGCCAATCTGGTTCACTTTGAGCAGGAGGCAGTTGCACGACTTCTCGCCCACAGCCTTGGAGATGCGCTTCGGGTTGGTCACAGTCAGGTCGTCCCCCACGACCTGAATCCCCGAGCTGGCAGTGAACTTCCGCCATGCTTCCCAGTCATCCTGGTCAAAGGGGTCCTCGATAGACACCACTGAGGAAAAGGGGAGCCACGCCTCATCAGCGGGGTCCTCTGGGTCTGCTGCACCCCAACCCCACAGCCTCTTCCTGTCCCGACTCGCTGCTCACCTACAGAGCAGGAACAGCTCTCTCCCACACTCGGCCTCCCAACCTACTCCTGTGACAGGGCACAGAAGCAAGCTGCATTCCTGGGAGCTCACACTTACTACCTGGGCTGCTAACCTGTCCACGTGGTGTGAGTCTAGTGCCACTGAGAATAAGAACAGAGCTATGGACTCGGAAGGATGAGGACCCGGGTCTGCATCTCGGCCCCGCCTCCAACAAGTTATTCAGCTGACTGGTTACTTGCAGCGGCTTAGAATCAGGCTCCCTGGTCTGAAGCCTCGCTCCGCCATTTGCAGAGTAGCCTTGGGTAACTTCCTGCCTTCCTTGTGCCTTGGGTTCTGCTCTTATAAACCAGTATGAAGAGTACCCACCTAACCTGTGCGCATTAAGTGCCCAGCTCACAGTGTGCATAACAAAGCTCGCTTTCCTCACCTATATGACAAAGCAGGAGATGGTTGTGACAGTGACAGCAGGCAATCACACTGCAAACAACTTATCAGTGTCACTGCTGGCTGGCATTGAAGACCACCTCCTGACTCCTCTGCGGCACCAAAGCACCTCTGTGAAGCCCTTGGTGCACTGTGTGCATCTGAGCTGGAAAAGCCCCCTCGGGGAGGTATGTGGTGTGGATACCGCCCACCCACTCTCATGCTGTGGTCATCACCCACCGGCCCAGCTGCAGCTGCCCTGATGCTCATGGATGGCTGGAAGGGGCACGGTGTCCCGGAAGCACTTACCTGGGTAGTCCTTGATGAAGGACTTGTACAGGTTGGCCAGCTCGTCAGGGGTGATGTACCTGTTGGGGTCATCGGGTGACTTGAAGTCCAAGTCATACTTCCCAGACCTGAAGAACTCGGAAGCAGCTACATCCATGCCAATGACAACCTTATCGGTGTAGCCAGCTTTCCCGATGGCATTCTTGAGCAGCTCCAGGGCTGGAAAGACATGGTGGCGACAAGCATGAACACCAGGCAGGTAGAGCGAGTTTCCCTCTAACAGCTGCCAAGTAGGAACCATAAACAAAGACCAAGAGGCGCTCAGGCCCCAACCACCAGTTTCAAGGATTCCAGTTCCTTTTTCTGCTCTGGGGCAAGAAACCTCCACTCAACATCCCTGGCGCATCACCAGTGGGAAACTCGGTTTTGACTCTAAGAGATTCTCACTGACAGATGCTCCCAAATTTAGCACCCAGGAACGCTGTGTTGGCCAAGATACAGTTACAGTGACCAGCTGGGACCAGCTGTCCTGAGGACCAGGCTTTAAATAGAGCAAGGCTTGGATCCAATGTGGAGCTGAGTGGAGGGGAGCCCAGGACAGTGGGGCCCTGCCTCCAGGCTCTCTCTCTCCGGGCGGTGCAGCCCAGAGGGAAACTAACAAAAATATGTGGATCCCGTTCCACAGCAAAGAAACCCAAGCTGTTAGATTAAACCATGTGATTGGGCTATTTTTTATTAGTCAAAATGGCCAAACACCACCAATTTCCTATGGTTGACCCAAAGAGCAGGATGGGTATTTTCTTTCATTAGGTGCCCGTGAAGGTGACAAAAGATGCTTGAGCCCCACTTTTCCTTCTAAACAAAAAACCTAGCTGTGAATTCTTGTTCTAAGATTTTCTGTACCTTCTACACAATTCTCACATTGAATTCTGTGCCTGAAAACTCAAACTGAAACACAGCTTGTGTGAACAGCCCTGTGGCTGAGTGGGCTAAAGGAGTGACCGATCACAGTCGTGAGCAGACGGCAACTACTCAAACACAGAACAGATCTCAAACCTTTGTCATCACCAGGTGGGGCAAGAAAAACAAACAGCCTCTCTGTGCCCATCAGCCCAATTTGAACAAACCATCAGGCCATTCACAAGTCAAACCAATAAGGAAATTCCTTGCTTTTTTTTTTTTTTTCCAGTGAAGTGCTAGTTCCCGCATCCCTCTCCAAAACAGTCTGCATTTTGATACGTGATGAATGAAGGGTGGAAAGACCAACGCTGCCTGGGTGGCAGGTGTGGAAGACATGCCAACAGAGGGGGCAGTGCCGTAGAACTCAGAGGTCCCTCTAGAGCCTTTACCTTCTTTATTCTCCAGGATGTTGGGAGCAAAGCCGCCTTCATCACCGACGTTGGTGGCGTCTTTCCCGTACTTCTCCTTGATGACATTCTTCAGGTTGTGGTACACCTCCGCTCCGATCCGCATGGCTTCCTTGAAGCTTGCCGCCCCGACGGGCAAGATCATGAACTCCTGCATGGCCAGCTTGTTGCCAGCGTGAGAACCACCGTTGATGACATTGAGGGCCTGGGGAGACACAGAGAGGAGAAGTACAGCCCCCGGCCCAGAGAAGCCCATGGAGTGGCAGCAAGCCCGACATTCAAGTGCACGGCCACATGTGGTGACGAAACGCTCCCCAGTCTCTCTTGACAACTGCAATCACCACCACCAGAGGTGTTCCCGGTTCTAAGCACTGGCTACTCTCTGGGCGGATGCACACAACCCACCAAGTACAATTTCCACCCCCCGGCCCCATCAACCATTAAGGACTTGGGGAGCAGGGAAGTTGAGTAACTCGCTCATGGTCACTCCTAGCAAGTGGCAGAGGAATTGTCTGCTGCTGGGACCTCCAGAGCCTGTTTGTATCCATCCGCTGTGTCGGAGAGCCACGGGTAGACGAGATCAAGACTTGGGCCATCTCGGGACCCCGGGAGAAAGCTAATAACTCTACTCCTCCTCTGGGAAGTTCAAAGCCACTCACCGGAACCGGCAGGATGACATCAGAGTGGCCAGCCAGGTCAGCAATGTGGCGGTACAGGGGCACCCCCTTTTCAACAGCTCCAGCCTTGCAGACTGCCAGGGACACGCCCAGAATGGCATTCGCTCCGAATTTAGCTAGAACAGAGCAGAATTAGAACAAGGTGTTTCTCACTCACCAACCTTTCCCCTGCTGCGTTCTGCCTGTGAGCACACCGTGGATTGTATCCTGAACGTGTATTTTCCATATTCAAGCCAGAAATGCAAACAGCACTCCATGCAGACTATCTGCTTTTCCCCTTAAGAAAGCCCTTTCTTTTGGTGTATGGAACTCTGGCAAGTTCCATGAATTGCTTGTCTAAAGGACAACCCTCACTGGAGTAAAACGCTACAGACATGCTGCGGTCACCTGATTATGCTTGTGACATTTAAAATGTGATTAAGTTGAGGCAAGACAACAAGAGACCACAGGCGGTCATGGAGTTCATTGTCAGGGACCACACAACCTCTTCCCAAAGGATGTAAAAGGTCTTCAGGAGACAGCACCTCCAAGACCCAGCTCAGCCACTCACATTTATTTTCCGTCCCATCCATCTCGATCATCAGTTTGTCAATCTTCTCCTGCTCCACGACACTCAGTTTCTACAGGGAGAAGGGAAGATAAGCTGCTTGGGGGAAAGTGATGTCACTCTATCTGCATGACCTTTGCACTTCTGTCACGGATTCGATAAAACATTGAAACCGTGCAAAGTCCAAATCAGTTCTGTTATACATTTGCTTGGTAGGCAAAAAAAGGGGGGTGGGGAATCAAGAGAAAATGGGGAGACACAAAGCTGCCCTTCCCTTGCTTAACAGTTTTCAGGCATGTCTCCAGGCACTAAGGAGCCAACAATGAAATGTACAAGCCACGGTCCTTGTGTCACAAAGGTCAGTCTCCCCAGGGGGTCCAGACACATTGTACATAACATGGAATCGTCTGGTGCGTGCTGAATAGGTATCACTACGAAGCAGGGTGACTTCGGGGCATTAAAAAACAGAACTCATTGTTCACACATGCGAGCCCTGCTCTTCAAAGGCGGGCTGCACCCTGTCATCACTCTTTTGGTGACCTTCAAGGACACCAAACTTCAGCTGATGGGAGAGGATTTCTGCAGGGGTTCAAAATCATTTAGTAAAACAGCTGATGATCAAAATGAGTATTTTGGGTGAGATTATAAAGTAATGAAACTGGTGTCTTGAAAACGGGCTCAAAGTCATTTTTAATAAAAGTTGGTATACCTCTGAAAACTTTGTAATTGAATCATAATAATGTATTATTTTATTTATAGTGTTCTTTATATAAAAACTAATATATGAAAAAACCCATCTATAACTTCATTATACCATGTTAACAATTTGGCGTCTTCTGCTTTTTTGACAAGGCATCTTTGGAAAAAGTCTGGAGTCCCCAAGCAGATGGCTTCAGAGACCACCCCTCACTAGGAGTTTGATTTTAGTGTGTTCCCCCAAGGGAAAAAAAATGCCCAGAAAAGCCCTGCGTGTTAGGTTAGTCCCACCAGGTAAGGACACCAAGGCACAAAGAACAGGTGTGTGTGGAGGTGCCCAGGAGACTGCGACGAAGGGTACACTGGCAGAGCAGAAATGAGAAACTGTGTCTGGGGACCAATTAGTGCCGCCCAGGCCAGGCCAAAATAAGCAAGCTGGGGAGAGAGAGGAGACGGCCTGCCACCGGCACACAGATGACTCAAGGAGGGCGAGACTACGCCCAGGAAGAGAGGCAGCGGAGGTGGAGGGTTTCGGCCTTGAGGAAGCTTCACTAGCCGGGGGTTTCAAATCGCTCCCTGCGCAAGTGGCACAGGGGTTATCGGGGAGGATGAATGGGGCGAAACTGCTGAGCAGGTTGGGGTCTGGGCCCCTAGCCCTACTTCACCCACAGCGTCACTACTTTTAATCTGTCTGACGTACTGAGGTTCCAAGTAAGATTTTATTTAACAAGAGTTCCACTGCTAAAGCCAGTAGAAATATAGTAAATAATTACGCAGTTCAGGAAAAATGAGTCAGTCACCATGGACACTACGTCCAACACCCCTGGATCTTAACTTCCCAAAGGTCAAGATAGTTGGAGGGAAAAACCAAGGCTCTAAGGCAGCCTCCCATCCCTCGGATCCAATTCCATGCGCTGTTAGACGTGGACACACAGACGGTGGGTTAGAAAAGGCAAAACGACTCTCATGCTGACAGGGATCCAACCGGCTTCCTCAGCGCTCAGAATAAGCTCTTCCAGACAGGAAAGGCCACTGGCCTGGGGGACGCTCTGATGGCATTAATATACATTAGTTATTAGGAGACGGGTCCTACCTTGCTAATCAGGGCAGGCGCAATAGTTTTATTGATGTGCTCAACAGCCTTTGAGACACCTAGAAAGAACAATCAAATCAAATTACTGACATTAATGGGAAACAGGCTTGAGCAGCGCTGCTGGAGAGAACCGCTATGACGCCAACCCAGGCAGTCAGACGCCCACCAAAAGACCTTCAATGGCACCTTCTTCAGGGCCCCATGTCCCTCTCCCCCCGAAATCGGAGGACTTTCTGGCCCAGTCTGAGTGCTCTTACCTAGGACCCCCAGGGTTAGAGCCGCACACAGAGCAACCTCAGAAGGTCTGAGGGGATTAGTTGGCAAGACCATGCACTGGATGCATCAGCTGCAGGGACTAACGGATGCCCAATGCATTACCTGCGTGCACAAGGCTGGTGCCAGGAACTCATTAATATACTTAACAGGTCTGGAGACACCTGACCAGTAGAGATCGACAGAGAAGGAAAGAAGAAACAGAAGAGAAATGCTGTGAAGGACACGGAGAGGGAGGGAGGAAATAGGAATATGGACAGACCACGTATCCATCCTCATTACAATCAAGGCACAGCACTGTCTGCTTTCAACAAGTCCCCGCCTGGGCTATGTGCCACTGCTACCCATGGGAGAGCCTCTAGAACTTCAAGTAGGACTGCAAACCTTGCCTGCCTACGGCACATTCACTGGGACTCTTGGCACAGGGTCTCCCAACCTGTTTTCATGACTGCCCCCCCACACCCCCTGCCTTTTAAGACTTTTCTCCTAATTGTCCTCCCCCAAAGGCATAATGTGGTCCTTCGTGGGCAACAAACCACAGTAATATTGTAAGACTTTTTTGCCTCCCCCAAGAACCAATTTCTGCCCCTGGGGGATGGTGCCCCACTGTGAACGAGCAGGCCAGCCCTCTCCGCTTTTCTGTAATTGGGCTACCGGGTTCTATCTACAGAAAGGTGAACTTGCAGGAACTCTTAAGAGGTCAATCTGCATATAGCACCCTCCAGAGGCCAGCTATGCCACAGAGTGGTGCTTCTGTGAATCAGTCGACAGAAAGATAAAGCTATGACAACTGCTCTGTAGGTCACCATTAATGAGAGTTTAGCCAAACCTTCCAGATGATTCCCTTCTAGATCCCTGAAGAGGGCTGATGGTCTGGAAGGCCCCTAGAGCCTTCCTGGGAGACTGGCAGTCTTCTTATCCTGAGGGTCCCTGACCTACCCAGGAGATTTTCACAGACGGGAGAAACAAGCATTCAAACTCTTGCCCGAGTTTAAAGGCTTAGGGATTCTGGAGTCAACAAGCCAATTTTTCCAGCTCTTCCATGTGCGGGGTACGTGCTTGCCGTAATACTGTGGGCCAAACCGAGGTTGCCCACCCTCAAATACAAGCCACGCAGAGTGAGGGAGGCTGTGACAGGCCAGGAGCAGCAGTGGAGGCGTGAAGACACAGTGCAGCCACACCCCAGAGGCAGCCCGTGGGTGCTGATGCTTACCCTTCCCCAAGTAGCGCGTCTTGTCATTGTCCCGGAGCTCTAGGGCCTCGTAAATACCAGTTGAGGCACCACTGGGCACAGCAGCTCTGAAGAGACCTGGATGTTGAGGGAGGAGAAAAATAGTTTAACGGTTAAGTAGGTGCCTCAGTTGGTTAAAAGCTCGCTCAAGAGTGCGAGCTCTGAGCAACAGGGTTGCCGGTTTGATTCCCAGATCCAGCTGAGCTGCCAACAGGAGGCAGGATGGCTCAGCTAAAACAAAACAAAACAAAACAAACAAACAAAAAGTTGTCCACTCCCCAACCCCCACTCACAGATGGCACTGTCATTAGGAAACACTGCTACTTCCTTCCACCAACTGGGAGGCTCAGATAGTCTGTTCTTGACTTGCACATTTTTATGACTCTGCAATGTGGACCCTAAAGCAAAGCTGATGAATTTCTCTAGTTTAGAGCAGAGCTTCTTGAATTTTAATGTGCATAGGTATCACCTGGGCTTTGTTAAAATAGACTCGGAAGCGGGAGATCCACAAGTCTGCATCTCTAACGAGCTCCCCTGGCTGGTGCCCTGCGGCTGGTCTGTGGACCACCCCACCCCCAGCAACAGAAACACGTGAGCCACTTAGGGAATTTATGGTCTAGCAGCTATATTGAAGTTAAAAAAATTCAGTATGTCTTATTTTAGCCAATATGTCCAGAAAGTTATTATTTCAATACATAATCACTAGAAACATTATGAGGTATTTTAGACAGTCCAGCTCGAGAGAACTGTTGCTAAGTCACCCTTGGACAAGTCGGAGACTGAGTCTCTAGCCTTTAAGCCTTAACAGTGTTGGCTCAAGAGGAAATCTCTATGGCTCCTTTGTTTTAGTTTAAGCAGTGAAAAATGCTATTTGGGGGTTCTCTGCATAACAGGAAACCAGGATAAACTGGGGGAAAAAGGAATAAAGACAATATAGGTGCAGAGTTTACTAACACAAGAGCATAATTAAGACTGAATCAGTTTTGCAGATACAGAAATCAGCCATCTGGCTAAACCTAGACCGTGGAACAGAAGACGGCACATCTTGGAGGACAGACAGTGTCACGAAACGTACTGCAGAGATCTGGTTGCATGGGCAGACAGGTTTAGGGGAGCAGAAAGTACAGGCAGCCTCTTGAAGCTACTTCAAACTGTAAGCAATTTCCCCCTCTAAGGTATGTGAAGAATGGGCAGGTGTGTGGGGATGTGAAGGCAAATGAACAGAGAGAAAAAACTCAGCCAGGTATTGAATGATGTGTTGGGATGCCCGTGTCCTTGCCATGATGGCGCGTTGAATAGGACACACGTTCCTCGTGACACAGGCCCTGGCTTTCTACGTATCCATCAGGTACTGGACTGGGTGAAGAAGTGACGAAAGCAAGGGTGACCCCAATGTAAATTATGGACATTGGGTGACAATGTGTCTGTGCAGGTCTAACTGTAACAAATATGACTGCTCTGGTGGAGGATGCTGAGAGTGGGGTGTGTGGGAACCCTGTACCTTCTGCTCAATTTTACTGTGAACCTACAACTACCCTAAAAAAATAAATACTAAGAAAGCAAGAAGTAATGAAAGGCTAACAAATCCACTAGTTCCTGTTTTTTGAAAATAATTAAGACCCAAGAAAGTTCCATTTATTTAAATTTCAAAAAATATTAACTCTAGTCATTTTAAAGTGCTTCAAAGAAAATGCCCTACTCCCAACAATCTTCTAGCATCGTGGGTCTTTTTTCATTGTTGTTTAAAGTCCGTTAATTTCCAAGCAGAAAGTTCCACTGTTATCTAAGCAAGCTGATCTCATAAGGTACAAGGAAATTCTCAGCATCCTCTGAAAACCCATGGTATTTGCCATAGAGCACATGCTCAGTTGAAACCCCCATCTGAAAGCAGCCACCACAGGCAGACCTCTGCCCTATGACATCTAGACTTGAGGGGCCTTCTTTCCCTGGGGGAGGGAGGGGAGGAAGGGAGAGGAGGGCTGGGCAGGGAGGGGTGGAGGTTCCACAGCCAGGCCTGTGATTCACAGCTGTGACTCAGCTCTGACGGGCAGGTCTGTGTGCTCAGCACCACTGGGTGACTCTGCCAACAGCTCCTCTTCCAACCTCACCCACCACCTCCATTTTGAAAATAGCTGAGACACTGGTGGAGATAACACAGGGCTGCAGAGGCACTGATTTTCTTTACGACTGAAATTCCAGGAATTCAAAATTAACGTCCTTGCCCATGAGCTGCTACTGCTGCTTCCTTTTATGGTGAATTGGTGTTTTATTTGGTCATTTTTGTTTACGACTGGATTTTCTTAAAGTCAGAAAAGGGGGGAACTTTTACGAGTCCTTATTCTATTCTTTTCTCAGGGGGGGCAAACTCCTCCTACGGGAACTTATAGCAGGCAAAGCTAAAGGCCTCTTAAATGTCTCAACACTGGAAAGTAAAAACTGTCCCTGATCCCTGGTTTGAGAGTAATTTCTGGAAACAGAGATGACAGTGCTATATTTGCACTTGTTGATTGGGTCACATCAAGCTCTGACGCAAACTAGTGATGGAACAAGTTATCCCCTCTTACTTCCCTGCCTCACTTCCCAAGGAAGCAGCAAGGGAAGGACTCACAACCCCCAACGGCCCCGTCAGAAATCACAACCTGCCAGCACGCACAGACAAGAAAAAAAGGCTTTTACAGTTAACAGACTTTCTCTTGCCTAAGGCTCTGTCGTTTTAAGGACGTTTTAAAAAAATGGAGGGTGGTGACAGGAACTACCGAAGCAAAGATGGCACATACCTTTTGCGGTGCAGAGATCCACCTCCACAGTGGGATTCCCACGAGAGTCGAAGATCTCTCTGGCATGGATCTTGAGAATAGACATGGTGATTTTCTGTGGGGGAAACAGTTTACATTTTCTATAAACCATAATGCAGCCTTGGTCATTCATTCAAGTGGTCACTTCTGAGGATTGCTAGACTAAAAGAATCTACACTGGACTAAATATTGGACATAGGAAGGCTGGCTAGAGTGGGCAAAATGCCTGCTGGAAAGCAGTGGGAATTGCTCCTAAAAAGTAGGTTAGGCCCAGCTCTGCAAAGCCTCCAACCCCAGCAGTTCAGGCCTTGTCCTATAAACAAAGGCTGGCATGGACACGGACCAAGTCAGGACCAAGGGGACATGAAGGTCACAAGCAAAACCACCTAAGATAAAAAAATGGGGTGGGGTGGGGGGTGGGGAAAGAGAACAGGAGGAAACTCTTAATTCGTAGTGAAATAATGAATTACAAGTTTGGGATGTATTTCATCAAGTTAAGCTTGGGGCAGCAGGAGGATGTTCAACTGGTGGATAAACTGTTGAGTTTGGAGCTCCTTGGTCTAAGCACTATGATTGTTGCTACCACCAATTTCTGGCCCTTTTCAAAACTCACAGTACTTGGGTCTTTAGTAAGATAGGACACATTGATAATGACATCTAACTAGTGCTTCTTTCAAAGGGCATTTTACCTCCCTTTTAAAACTTAATTATGAAATGTTACGATTTCTAAATAGAGGAAAGATTCGCTCTTTGAACACCAGGATATTCCAAGAAAAGAGTCTTCCTTTCTTTTTAAATTTCTTTTTCTTTTTCAATTACAGTTGACACACTATATTATTATATTAGTTTCAGGTGTACAACACAATGATTAGGTATGTACATAACTGGAAGAGTCTTCCTTTCAAAACACTGTCAAGCAGCAAATAGCTCGTCCTCAAAGGAAGCCCCTCTCACTTTTTTCTCTAAAGAAGAAAACGAACAACTGTGGATGAGAGGAACTGAATTAGTGTTCAGAAGCCATTATCGATTTAGCTGGGCTCCTCTCCAGTGTCTTCTTTGGAATGTTCGGAAGCAGCAAATGGCATCTTTTTTTAACTTTCAAAATTAGGTACTGAAGTCCCCTTTGTGGCTTTGTTGTCTGTGTAACAATGGAGTTTTATTCACTGGGGGATAAAGAGGTATTTAGTTTTTAATCTATGATCTTACAGAGAGGCAAATTTGTTGAAACATATTTTTTAGTTTTAGAATTTTAGTGAACTTTGAGTTTTGGAAAACCATATACCTGTGTAAATTTCCATCACCCAAAAACGTCCATTCAGGCTGTTTTCAGTCAAGCTCCCCCCCGCCCAGGCAGCCACAGATTTACTTTACAGATTGCAGATGCACTTTTAAACACATCTTCATTACACTACCTCAGCATCCAGCTGTTAAAGAGCTCATTTTTCGTTTCATTTTAGTGATATAAGACAAGGTGATCAATTTCATCACGTGAAAATAAAACTCAACTTGTCTTTAAATTGGATAGAAATACAGTCAATAACGTTCAGGGAGCTCGAGCAGGGCGGAAGGCTGGTCTGACTAGGAGTCTCACCGCTTTTCATCTGCCCACAATGAACCCCGGACCAGGGGTAGCACGAGTGGACCGCGCGGTCAGGGCCTACATGTGCCCCGGAGGCAAAGTCAACCTACGGGCCCACACCGCTCGGAGCTTAGACCACATTGCGGAGGAAGCAGCGAACAGGAAGCTTTCTTAAAATACATCCTTTTTACGTCAGATCACGGCCGACTGTCGGAGGCCAGGCCCGGGAGCCCGGCGCAGCCCATGCCCGATCTAGGCAAGGTCGCCTGGAGGGCTTCCCAATTATCCAATGGCTCTGCTGCAGTCTCCCCAAGAATAAGCACCTTCTGAAGTTGTGTTAGTCACTGCTCATTCCAGAGCAGGGACGGGCTGGGCACCGGCCGCACAGCTGCAGGCCGAGGGCCACCTGCGGGCAGCAGGGGCTGCTGGTGGGGGAGGGGGAATTGCAGCTTCCTGCACATCTCTCCTTTCTCTGCCCCTTCCTCCATTTTAGGAAGGGCCTGGCATTAATGAGCACCGAGGGTTAGGCCTGTACCTCCCTCAAAACCTTCCCCTCTTAACGCCTTGTCGGAAGGCGCTCGATTCCTGACCTCATAGTACAGTTATGTGGTCCCGTAACTCCGTAATCACAGTGATCCCTCCGGAGAAACCCGGCGCCGCGCCCCCGCCTTCGGACTGCTATTCTGGCCGCGGGAGGCAGGCTCGCACGTGACGAGCCGCCCTTCCCACGTCCCCGCTGAAACCCTAGGTACGCCGTCTGAGGGGCAGGAAGCCCCCCGGAGAACCTGCACGAGGCGCCTGCTAGGCGGCCCTACCCCTAGTCCTTACCTGACTGCTGGACGTCGCCGCCCGGGAAAGAACACTGTTGCAGACACGGAGGTCGAGCGCTAAACTGCGTTAAGCCTCAAGGTCTGGGCACTCTGAGCTCGTCTCTGCACGGACTACCCAGACTTCCTGTTCAGCTTTGGGAGACCCTGCCCACTTCTCGCCACCCCCGGCCCGCCCCCTCCGTTCCTCCTCGCCATTGGCCCTGCGCGCCGTCACTCAGGGCTCGCGGGAAAGGGGTGGGACTGCGGCCCGCGCTGCAGCCTGAGGGGGGGGCGACGACCAACGGAGGTGGGGCGATGCTGCGGGGGGGTGTAGGAGGGAGAGGCGGCCCTGGCTCCGCGGCCACTGCATTGGGGTGCGGGCAAGCCCCTGCCCACCTTTCCCTCCTGGCCCGCTTTGGGACCTCTGGCTAAGCCGAGTCTGTGGCGCCAGGACCCCAGAGAGGGGCGGGGCGGCATGGCCGGCATGAGGGCTCGGGGCTTCATCACGTACTCCGAGTCCCGCACGCACGCAGCGTCGCTGCGGCGCTGCACGTCCGACCCACGACCTTGATGACGACCTTCGCGGCCCGCCCTTCCCGCTCCGCCTCTTCCCACCCCGTGGCGTGGTGTTGGAGACCCCGTCGGCTTAGAGACGTTGCCGGCTGCGGGTCCCAACCAGCTCCTGGGGCCGCAGAGCCGCGTGCCGGGGGGTCTCGTGCGCTCGGTTGTCCCTGCTTGCTACGCTCCCGGCCGCCGGTCTAGGTGACCTGGACCTTTGTCCTTGCACGGGGACAAAATATCAGACTTGCGAATCAGGCCCCTAGGGCCGAAAGGAAGTTCACTTTCCCTTAATTACAGCTAAGGCTTTTGGAGCGCTTCCTATGTATAGGGTATATCTCCGTGTGCGTCCCCAGCGTTAGTTCATTTTCTAGCTCTCGTTAATGTTGCATCTTTAGAGGGGACTTCATCTCCCTCCTTTTCCTACTTAGGTCAAATCTACCTGGCTTCCTGGGAACCATACATGTAGTGATTTGGAGTGGAATTTAACACGGATGCGGGGGTTTTCCCAAAGTTCAAATCAGTAAAGTTCCACGGTAATCTGGCAAATGAAAAAGGAAGGTGTGGGTGCAATGATTTTACCTTTCTGATCAGGAAAGAACAGATACCCATTTAAAATCAGTTCTGCAACACATCCCTCCCCTCCGAGGGAGACCTGAGGCCACCAATTCTGTTTTCTGTATTTCTCAGCATTCCTCTTGGTTTGTAAGTCTGAAGGCTTACATCAATGGCATACATCTCAGTCTCCACATTGCCTAGCACAGAGACATCCAAATATGTATTTGAATTTAATGATTATTTCTTCTCAGCTGCAAAAACTGCCTGTCCTTCTTAACTCCTAGCATTTTTTATCCCCTAGCTACTGGCTTGGGTTTCCAAGGCATTGGGTCAAGGTGAAGACCTATTGAATCCACGGTATTTGTTTCCCATTGACTAAGAAGCAAGAACTTCAGGATTAAATTCAGCAAAACAGCAACAAAGGAATTGTAAAATGTTTCCTAAAGAACTAGATGAATTTTGCAAGCAGAGTTTGCGATTTCACCAGCAATACACGGATGTTTCAGACTGCTTCAAACCAAGATCCCAGCCCCGTGACTCAGCAGCAAAATAACAGCCAACATCTCCTACATCTTCTCAACAAAAATCAGCCAGTTAGAGCTCTTATTTTCACAGTAATTTTAAGGTGTGGCCCTGAAAGGGCTCCAAAACAATCTCTTTTATTTTACATTAAAGTTGTTAGAGAGATAAAGATAGAAAGACATGGCTCTTATTACTGCTCTCTGGCCAGAACCAGCAATTCCTAGCAGGAAATCAAATGTAAAACATGATATCAGACAGCTGCTGTTGCAAGATTCTTGGGGCCACAGCACAGTGTTCTGAGCCAGCACTTCGACCTCAATTGTAGCTCATATGTTAATGATTAGTAGAGATGCCCTCAAATCTTTTCCAAAATCCACAGGCTGCCAGATGCCCTCCTTGTCTCCACAGCTCCTGAGGCCTTGTTAGCAGGCAGTGGGGCTCACATGTGCCTGCAGGAGCACTGACCTTGTTACAGGTGTTTAAATTATTACTTATCATGATAAATATGCTGGTGGGCAGTTTCCTTGCACAGGCATACCAATGGCACTCACCCTACTGGTGGGTAGGGAAAGGAAATGAGTGTCCAAAGCTATTATCAAGACCACACTGTAAAGCAACGCAGGTAGCGCCTGCAAGACAATTGCAGGTGGACTTCAGGGTCAAGGGAAGGTGCATCAGCAGCCTGAAACCCACTAGGATTACGGATTCTATCTGTGGTTTGTGCAGCCCTGGTTAAAAGTTGCCCATTGGCTGAAAAAGTGGCGGGTCTCTAGCCAGACAGGAAACTTCAGTGTTGCATAAGCTGCCCAAGGGAGGTTAAGACAGGAGATAAGTGAGGAAGGCCCTCAGGGGTTCTAGGTGGGTGATCCCTCCTCAAAACAGACCATGAGGCTTTTGTGTGTGTCTAGCACTATTTTGCATATACCAAAGTCTACGTAAAGTGTATCTGGCGTAAAGAATAATAAATGAATGTCCGTGTACCCACCACCACTTTAAGAACGATATCAGCAATGCTGTTAAGTTCCCTTGTATTTTCTTCTCTGGCCCTATAGGATGACTCCTGTCCTAAATTTTGTTTTTATTATTGCCTTGCTTTACATTATGGTTTTACAATATATTTTATATAAATGGCACTGTACTGTTTGTAGCCTGTTGCTACTGTTCTTTGCTTAACTTGATGTTTGTGAGCTCCATCCCTATAGCTGTAGATGGTTCGTTTTCAGTGCTGTATAGTATTCCATTGTGTGAATGTCACACATTTTCCTGGAAGTATACCTTCGGGTTGTTCCCTGGTTCTTTTTTCTTGTTAATACCAACAGTGCTACTATGGACTTTGTTGCAAATGTCTCCTGAGCGCAGGTGTGGCTTTGAGGGTACCTCCTAGGGCTCGCTGTTGTGAACAGCCCCCTCCCCTGCCTTCTTTAGAGCTGACTTCACAGTCACCTGGTGGAAGCAGGAATTGAGCAAGGAGCACATTTAAGGAGACGGAAGGGAGAACACAGTATGATTTTTAAACAGTCATTGCTAGGAGGGCATTTATCAGGGTGCCCAAACGAGGGGAGTATGGAGGAGGGGGATTAAAGAAAACAAAAAACAACCATAGGAGGCAGGGAAGCAAGAAGGAGGCACCCTCAGAGGAGCTAATGAAGGTGGGGCAGGTGGGGCTCTGGACCAGCAATAGAAAAATCTGAGGCTTTATTATTTGCCAGGTCTAACTTGTTTAATCCTGTCAACAAGGTCATGAATGGATTCCAATGGATCATCTCCACTTCTCAAAGCACAGAGAGGCTAGCTGACTTGCCTAAGTGCCCAGCTAATGAATGGAGGCCCCAGGGACCAACCCAGACAGCCTGGCTCCCAGCCCTCACCACCCAACCACTGAGCATCCTGCATCTTCACAGTGAACTTCACCTCCGCCTTGGATTTGGGTGAGAGGCACAACACTAAACTTAGTCCCAGGAGCCTTCCCTTCATTTGTATATTTAGGCCATGACTATAACCACACACAGAATTTAACTGTAGCAGTTTTGGATTTAAGAAATCTGACTCAAGAAGCCTTCATATCTGCCAGATAATGTCTTCTCTCTAGAACAAGTTTGTAGCTGGGAGGAGAAAACAGCTTGCAGAGTCAGAGCAGCAGTTACATTGTATCGCAATTCAAGTTCCAATTACAAAATGTCCCCAACTCCACATCTGTGATGGCATTTTTCTGGCATTTCCTAAAGAAAAGGGTAGAAACTCTCTCTGATTTTCCATAAACCCCTCATAGTTCCCTTGAAGTGAAGTCCTTGGACCTCCTGCATCTAAATCCTTGACTAATCTTATTTTTTCTTTGTTTCCTGATGGAGAAAGCTGAAGAGAGAATGGATTTCAGCCCAGCATTTGTCAGAGCCTGTCAGAATATTCCTGTGGCTAGACGAGCAGTACAGACTGGGTAGATTTATAACTGGCTGAGTGGGTCTCTTATGGGGCTGGTCTCAGACTGGCAGATGAGGGTAGTGAGGACATGCTGCTAAAAATTCAGATCTCAGAGCTGGGTGGACAGCTGTGCTAGTGCATAGCTGACTCAGCACTTGTACCAGACAGGCCACACAAGGTGCCAAGCTGATAAAGTGCCCCCCTTTGAGTGCCTCCACATCCACAGCCCTGTGGAAGGATTTCTCAGGCAGGACAGGCCTTTACCACCTGAACACAGCTGACAGGACCCAGGATCAGCACCAAAGGGGGCCAATGAGATGGCCTGGTCGGAGCGCTCTGCCCAGTTAGAGCATGTCACTATGGGCGACTGGCCAACTAATTGGACCCTCTTCCTTGGGAAGTTTGGATTCACGATCTACAAAGAGAATGATCTAAGGGTAGAAAACTGCAGATGGAGAGAGGCATGGAGCAGGCTGTAAGCAGAAACTATGATGCTGGAAAGCCCATGATGAAACAGACTCCAAGAGGTGGGGGGAGAAGTACAGCATCCGTTGGTTGACTGTATAGGAAGAGGTAGGTGAGGGCTCAGCAGAGCTGCTGTTGGAGACCGAGCTGCCATATCCTGAGCTGCAGTGACATTTTCGTTCTCAGGAGGCCTGGCTGTCCAGCTGCTCTAATTCCTGCCCTCCCTACCCTCCTAGGATCCCTCCAGGAAGCCCCAGGAGCTGAGGAGCCCATGTGACTCTTATGCTCTGCAATGTGAAACAACCCAATGAACTCAGCTCGACAGTTGGAAGGAAGACCCAAATCTGACTCAGTGAAAAGAGAAAGACAGAGTCCACAAATGAGAAAGAAGTGATTTAAATTTGTCACTACAATGCCTGTTTATTGAGCCCCTGCTATGTGCCAGGCAGTCGATGTGGCAAGGAAAACAAACAAACAAAAGCCAAAAAAAGCCTTAACCTCAAGAAAACTACCTTCTAATGAAGTGGGAGGAAGAAGGCCGACAGTACTTAAAAATGCATCAGTATACACGTGGCTCGTGTCAGAGAGGACACTTCAACAGAGACCTGAGGAAACGAGTCACTGGGAAGAGC